AGTTCCGATAAGAATGGAATTGTGAATCACTGAACCGTTAATATATGGTTAGCATGGTCCGTTTAAAATATCTAAGCATAGAAAGCGAATTCTCGTTTCTCGACATGGTCCTTAAGCTATAAATAGATTGGGAGTATCGATATTATGTCACGATTTGTGTGTTCTCGTTATAAAAAAAATCATCATCAAACAACTAAGAAAATAATTAAGCAAAGACAAAGATTTCAGCCAACAACACTGAAACCCTTCCTTAAAATTTGGCTGAAACCCATTACACAATCCGCCAAAGCACCTACATGTTTAGTATTCATCGGAGGCTTTGGTGAAACAATCGAACAATCAGTTATTTGTATGTCCGAGTTGTACTACAAGACACGCCATAAGTTCGTCGGCTCCTAACTGACGAATTGTAAATTTTGACAACAGTTCCGTACACAATAAGTTCATTAGGTGCAAAGAACTTGTTTACCCGGGTGGGGTGAAGGGGAGGTAATCCAATAAGAATTTTGTTTACAGAACAAATGAACAGTATGAACAAGTTGTTTTGTTAAAACTGGTTATAAATTTAATAATTTTTTACCCAACTAAGTTCTTGGCACCTTTTTACTTGTTACAATAAATTAGCGGATTTATTGTAACAGGCCACCATCGACGTAGCTGTAATAACTATACAACAGTCACTAAAAATCTCCAAAATTGACTAGTAAGGTGAAGCAGAACTAATTATCTATTAAACTAGGAATGTTACCATCATTTTTGTGGTCATGCTTGACCAATTTCTTATTTAAAATTTGATTGTATCAAAAATTGGTAGCAAAATGTTGCAACACGTTTATATTAGGATTCTGTGCAAATCGAGCTTTAGAATTTTGACTTACCTCTTATTTTTAATTTTATTGTATCAAAAATTGGTAGCAAAATCTTGCAACACGTTTATATCAAGATTCTGTGCAAATCGAGCTTTAGAATTTTGACTTACCTCTTATTTTTAATTTTATTGTATCAAAAATTGGTAGGTAATTGTTAAAGCGCGTTTATATCAGGATTGTTCTGTGTAAACCGAGCTTTAGGTTTTTTTACTGAATATATTCTTATTTTAAATTTGTTTGTATTAAAAGTTGGTGGGTAACTGTCGAACTGGTTTAAGCAAGGATTTTTATGTTTTGTGCAAGACGATTTTTAGTATTTGACTTAAACGCTCTTATTTTTAATTTTATTGTAACAAAAATTGGTAGGTAATTTTTAAAGCGTGTTTATATCAAGCTTTTGGTGTTCTATGCAAAAGAAGCTTTAGAATTTTTACTTAAAAAGTATTATTCTTAATTTTATTGTATCAAAAATTGGTAAGGTGTATGTAAAACGCGTTCAACTTAAGATTATGATGTTTTGTGCAAACCGAGCTTTAGATTTCTTTCTGAAAATATCCTTAGTTTAAATTTGTTTGTATTAAAAGTTGGTAGGTAACTGTCAAACTGGTTTAAGCAAGGATTTTGATGTTTTGTGCAAGACGAGCTTTAGTATTTAACTTAAAACCTTTTATTTTTAATTTTATTGCAACAAAAATTGGTAGGTAATTTTTAAAGCGCATTTATATAAACATTTTGGTGTTCTATGCAAAAGGAGCTTTAAAATTTTCATTTAAAAAGTCTTATTTTTAATTTTATTTTATCAAAAATTGGTTTATATCAGAATTGTGGTGTTCTGTGCAAACCGAGCTTTAGATTTTTTACTTATAATATTCTTATTTTTGATTTGTTTTTATCAAAAGATGGTAGGTAAATGTCAAACTGGTTTAAGTAAAGATTTTGATATGTTGCAATACGAGCTTTACAATTTTGACTTAAAAACTGTTACTTTTAGTTTTATTGTATCAAAAATTCGTAGTTGTAGCAAAACGCGTTCAACATAGGATTGTGGTGTCCTGTGCAAATCGAGCTTTAGATTTTTTGCTGACAATATTCTTATTTTTATTTGGTTGTATCAAAAGTTGGCAGGTAAATGTCAAACTGGTTTAAGTAAGCGATTTTGGTGTTCTGTGCAAACCCAGCTTTAGATTTTTTACTGAAAATATTCTTATTTTTGATTAGTTTGTGTTAAAAATTGGTAGGTAAGTGTCAAACTTTAAAGTCNATTAAACTAGGAATGTTACCATCATTTTTGTGGTCATACTTGGCCAATTTCTTACTTAAAATTTGATTGTATCAAAAATTGGTAGCAAAATGTTGCAACACGTTTATATCAGGATTTCTGCGCAAACCGAGCTTTAGGTTTTTTTTACTGAATATATTCTTATTTTAAATTTGTTTGTATTAAAATTGAGTGGGTAACTGTCGAACTAGTTTAAGCAAGGATTTTGATGTTTTGTGCAAGACGAGCTTTAGTATTTGACTTAGAAGCTCTTATTTTTAATTTTATTGTAACAAAAATTGGTAGGTAATTTTTAAAGAGCTTTTATATCAAGATTTTGGTGTTCTATGCAAAAGGAGTTTTAAAATTTTGACTTAAAAAGTCTTATTTTTAATTTTGTTGTAACAAAAATTGGTGGGTAATTTTTAAAGCCCGTTTATATCAAGCTTTTAGTGTTCTATGCAAATGGAAATTTGGAATTTTTGACTTAAAAAGTCTTATTTTTAATTTTATTTTAGCAAAAATTGGTAGATAATTGTTAAAGCGCGTTTATATCAGGATTTTGGTGTTCTATGCAAAAGAAGCTTTAGAATTTTTACTTAAAAAGTATTACTTTTAATTTTATTGTATCAAAAATTGGCAAGGTGTATGTAAAACGCGTTCAACTTAAGATTATGATGTTCTGTGCAAACCAAGCTTTAGATTTTTTTCTGAAAATATCCTTAGTTTGTATTAAAAGTTGGTAGGTAACTATCAAACTAGTTTAGGCAAGGATTCTGATGTTATGTGCAAGACGAGCTTTAGAATTTGACTTAAAAGCTCATATTTTTAATTTTATTGCAACAAAAATTGGTAGGTAATTGTTAAAGCGTGTTTATATCAGAATTGTGGTGTTCTGTGCAAATCGAGCTTTAGATTTTTTACTTATAATATTCTTATTTTTGATTTGTTTGTATCAAAAGTTGGTAGGTAAATGTCAAACTGGTTTAAGTAAGGATTTTGATATTCTGTGCAATACGAGCTTTACAATTTTGACTTAAAAACTCTTATTTTTAATTTTATTGTATCAAAAATTGGTAAGGTGTATGTAAAAGGCGTTCAACTTAGGATTGTGATGTTCTGTGCAAACCGAGCTTTAGATTTTTTTCTGAAAATGTCCCTAGTTTAAATTTGTTTGTATTAAAACTTGGTAGGTAACTGTCACACTGGTTTAAGCAAGGATTTTGATGTTTTGTGCAAGACGAGTTTTAGTATTTGACTTAAAAGCTCTTATTTTTAATTTTATTGCAACGAAAATTGGTAGGTAATTTTGAAAGCGCGTTTATATCAAGAATTTGGTGTTCTATGTAAAAGGAGCTTTAGAATTTTGACTTAAAAAGTCTTATTTTTAACTTTATTTTATCAAAAATTGGTTAAAGCGCGTTTATATCAATATTGTGGTGTTCTATGCAAACCGAGCTTTAGATTTTTTACTTATAATATTCTTATTTTAGATTTGTTTGTATCAAAAGTTGGTACGTAAATGTCAAACTGGTTTAAGTGAGGATTTTGATAATCTGTGCAATACGAGCTTTACAATTTTTACTTAAAAACTGTTATTTTTAGTTTTATTGTATCAAAAATTGGTAGTTGTAGCAAAACTTAGAATTGTGGTGACCTATGCAAACCGAGCTTTAGATTTTTTGCTGAAAATAATCTTATTATTAATTTGTTTGTACCAAAAGTTGGCAGGGAAATGTCATGCTGGTTTAAGTAAGGATTTTGGTGTTTTGTGCAAACCCAGCTTTAGATTTTTTACTGAAAGTATTCTTATTTTTAATTTGTTTGTGTTAAAAATAGGTAGGTAAGTGTCAAACTTTAAAGTCATGATTTTGGTTTGTGAGCTTTAGAATTTTAAATGACATTTAAAAAAGTAACAACTAAAATATAAAATTATATTCCTTTTTAAAACTTCTAAATTCAAGTAAGTTTCGCATCTGTCACACTTCAGTTGCACATAGAACTAATCAAATTGGCCGTGTTTGGTGTTATTCATTTTTTTTTTGTTAATCTAGACATCGGACCTCCTCTGTTTCATAACTTTCTGTCATAGATGACTAGATTCACTGAATTTCGATACAATTATTTCCTTAAAATTCCTCATTCATCTCTCAACTTACAAAGCAAAATTAAAGCAAGACATCGCGTCTAACTTTCACGAAATATTCGACAGGATCACACCAACGGGTGTTATTTTTTTCAACTCGTGCTATGCGGCACTGCAACTGTCCGTAAAAACAGACCTCAGCGTTGCGAAAGAAAAAGTTAACCCTGAATTTAAATGTCAAGCGAGAAATCGAAGTTAATCGGACCTTCATGTTCCTAATTAGCAACCAATTACCTTACCGCTTTTTTTCAATTCAAATATACAGAGCGCCCGTTCCTAGCCTGCCCAGCACAGATATTTGGCACATTAGACAGGCCGTTGACGCAAGGAGACTTCCGGTACAATTCTTTACATATTTATGCAAACGATTTAAAAGTGGGGCGAAATTTTTAGCTTGGATTCTATCGATTAGATCTTAAAAGCCATCTTACGAAGACTAAGCTTATAATATACGTAGATACAGTACAGTTTTCTAGTAAACAAGCAGATACAGTTATTATAATTATGTACTTTCACAAAATTCCTTGCATAATCCCATGTTAACTCTTACGTTGTATTGAATATACGTGCAACAGACAATTTAAAGCCTCTCCGTAGGGACTGCGGGTTACATTTAAGAAAGTAGGTAATCTCTGTCTGAGAAATATCGAGGTCACAATCTGAGAACTGGTAATATCAACGGTGGCACAAGATGGTAACGTCGTGGAAATCGTCCTTACGCGCTTACCTTTGAGTGAAATGTAGGGAAGAAAATTGTATATCCATATAATCCCAAGGATCTATCACAGATTCCGATTATCTACTTCATCCTCTCTAAAGTATAGATTGTAAGTATACACAATCACTTCACTTCCAACGTTTTTATGTAACACACTGTATAGCACGCATATTATGCGTGGAAGAGTACTGTCTCGCACTGAAATTCGTGAAAATACCGTAGTTTTACCGCCGCACCTGTCTTGTTCGTTGGAAACGAGTATAGCGGTGTCTTACGTCCGATCCAGATAGGTTGACTGGACAGGTAAATACACCAGGTAGGCAGGAGTCTGGTAAGTGATTGTGTAGGTCGAGGATCGCGACGGTATTGGTCGGGTACAAGACGGTGAGGTAGGCAACACGCTTTACGTGTGGGATTAGAAGCGTTTTGATGCGTGGCTTAGCAAAGTAGGCCATGCGCAACGTTACAGTTGAAAGTGGGTGCCTGGGTATGCAGCCGTCTTTGCAGTAGTGTGTAGGGAGAAGTATGCACTAACTTTGAGAACACATTTCGATATTCGAATGCTTTTTAAAATTACATAGTGGGCTGCGATAGCAACTTTGACATTCTGAGCAGTTAGAAGAAAGAATAAATAATGCTTTTCATCAGATTCAAGCAACAATAAATTTCGAACAAATTACATTTTCGTTACTGAAAAGATGTCGGGGCTGTGTTCGTGGAAATGGAGGTATTTTTGAGCATTTACTCAAATAAAATCATTAAAATGATAACTAATGTTATTAATTTCTTTATTCGAACAAATAACATGTCATGTCATTTAAGTAAAAGTATTTTCAGTTGATTTTTTAAGTTTTACTTGAAAATCAGGCTTTTTTCGAAGAACATGGAAAGGTAGTAACTTGTAGAAAATTGAAAGACGAATCATGGTTGTTACCGTAAAGCAGTGGCGTACTATTTTATTTAGAAAAATATGCCACCTATACCCTGTACCTCCGCCACTGGAACATGTAAATTTTAGGAAACGCCCTCAGATTTTGGAAAATATTTCAATAAATACTTGTGCCCAGTTTCAAATTATTTCACTTACTAATTTTTAAATTATTTAAAAAAAATAAAAATATTTTTTGAAGTTAACACCTTGTATCTTTTTAACGAAGCATCCTAGATAAAAACGTTATAGGAAAGACTCCCCTTAAAATGCACCAAAGAACACGAAATTTCATTTTTGGTCACCATTTGTGAATCACCCTGTATATGATTTTTTCACACTAAACAAACTAGTACTTTTTTTTACTAGAATATGAAGAAAAAAATATTGCAATTCATCATCTTATTGGCCTTACAGCTTTGCCGACTTATACCCTACATTTTTTTCAGAACAATGCTTAGGACTGCTCTGATGAAACTTTTAGTTAACATTTTTCTTTTGCAAATATTTAAACTATCGTTTACATTTTGGTTTTGTATAGCAGAATAATCTTAAGTAAAAAATCGTTTTTTTTTCTAAATTTTCTATATAAGATTATGTATGAGGCATTTTGGAGATATCTTTCTGTATTTTTTTTACTCTGCAAGTTGTTCGATACGAGTTTACTTGTTAATATAATAGAAAACTTGTTTAAAATGTTAAATCTGAGATGTTGAGCAGAATTCTTCAAAATGAATAGCTTTTTACATACATATTCTGGAGAGTCAATAGTGTATTTATAACAGTTCTCAACAGATGGCAGAACCTACGCATTGCTTGATGTAATATCTATGTAGTGTACGCAATGATAATAAATAATCTGTTGTGAACTGAACTAAGATGTTTTCAAAATTTAGAAGATTTTCGGAAACACTAAAATAACTGAAAGAGATAAGGAGAAGATCATACCTCCTCGAAACTAATTTTAAAAATTAAATATTAACTCTAGAGGATGTCCCAGGAATTCATATGAGGAAAAAATGTTTTATTATTTAAAAAGTTGACAAAGTTGCCGCATTAAAAAGTCGCATGACATATGATCACATGATATTATGCCATGCAAAATGCTGCCAACTCCTGTATGTCAACACCTTCTACCATTTTGGTTCAATAAGCGAGCCTCAAAACGTTGTGATCGTCGTGAGTAATAAACAAAAAAAGTTTTTCGTTATATTTCGTATAGAAACAGTAATTAATTCTGTTTGTAGTTGTGCTGGCTTCGTTCAAATGGGTTTTCATGATTCACACGACAAACCTCATTAGGTATGTGGAAAAGTTGTATTTCCTCAATTCGTAAAATTGGACCAATTATCCGAGCCGAGTTTATTCTAGGCTAATTTTCTCGTGAAACAAACAAATTATAACGTGGTCGGAGAAAATGGCTTCATACAGGGTGTTCAATGCATCACTTTCCTTATACACTACCGCAAAATTAGAAAAATATGTATTATTTGGTTTTATTCTAATGATTTACTTGACGTTTTCATAGAAAATTTGTTATTGATGATGTATCCGAAACATTTTTAAATAATATTTATAAAGTAAACACAAAACTTATCCTAGAAAAGTAATTTTTTCTTATATTTCGCTATAAGTTTAAAAATACCTGTTAGATTACATTTATCAATTTGCAATTTAGTTTTTTTCAAAATTTATAATTTTAAGGTACTATTTTTTCTTAATTTTATCTGTATTTAAAAATTAAAAAAAAAGAGAAAAATCATTTGAAAGGTTGAGCAGTCTTTTCTGTGTGAAAAAATTTTCAAGTCTAACTTTCTAGATGCTTTATTTGAGGTTGTGTGACAATTTAAAAATACGAAAATTTTTTCAAAATTTTTTTCAAAAAATTATTTTGCGAAAACTAGAACCGATTTTAATGAAATTTGGTGTGTTTTTTTATTATACTCTAAAGGTTTTTTTACCAAAATTAGAATGCCCTCGGAGCAATTAAAATATTTTAAAAAATATCCAAAAAACTTGCTTATTTTGCCCATTTTTCATCAATTTTGCAACATCGATAATAAATTTAAACATTTTTAACTTACAGTATATTGTGCAAAACTCAATTCTGAAACATTTTTTCCTGTTCAATATTCTTCCAAAATGCATAGGTTCCAAGATATAAATAAAAAACTCGGATAAAATAGGTATTTTTTAAACATTTTTGCAATTTTGAAAATGTACCGGACCTCGCCCAGATCTAGGGATCTACATTTTTATTATGCGAGTTGTACTGAAGGTATTCCAGCTAAAATTAGCTTGCCCCCTCTTACATCCAAGAACTGGGATATTTCGGTGGTCTATTTAAGTCATGCTAAGATATGATTTGGAAACAGGTCATAACAGATGGGGTGAAGGCAAAAACTACCCCATCTTTTTTCTGGGTAGTTATCTTTCAAGTTTTATCTAGAAATGTTAACTGTTTTTATAAAAGAAGGTTCTTTTGTTGACCCCACTCCATCAAAATATAAGTAAATAGGATGCCCAATCGCTATTAGAATTTCCTTGATTGATCTTTCAAGATTTATTTTACCCAAACGAATCGTTTTATCGAAGTTCAGATCCTTCGTTTATAAGGAAAACGTTACAATTTTGGATTTCGGTATCAAACTTACAAAAAACTCCCCAAAAATAGTTTGGGCAGCCTCTACCCCCACCCATCAGTTCTGACCTACTTTTAAACCAAATTTTAGACTGATTGTCTACCTATTGAAACACCACGATGCATTACTATGCTACAAATGAATCTAAACATGTCTGCTTACCGTTAGGCGATCACATCATTAATCTGATTGGTTGAGCCCAAAAATCCACACTTTTTTTCATATAACTACATCAAATACAGTAAAAAACACAATATACAATTCATTTACATATTTTTTGTGCGTAAAAACAATGCAAATACGGAAGAAATTTCCTCAATTTTCGTCAGAGTACGATTGCCTGGCTGGAGCTGTGTACAGTCGAAAGGGACACCCTGTACACTCTGCGCGATCGCATCGCAGCCCTCATTTGCCTGTCACAGCCGTCAACCAGCCCTATAATTTCACAGAAAACTATCAGGATAAAGGCAGGACAATTTACCTACGGATTAAAAACACAAAAGGAAGCGCATTTTTTTCTATATCGGATCCGAAAAATAGGCGCGCTCAAATTGCCCTCTCTCCGGCAATTAGGCCGCCATTATCGAATTAAATATTTGGAAAATAATAATTTAATAAGCGATTGGACATGCCGGACGCGGTGGATCTGAAATCCTCTATGATTCTGCGGCTAGCTCGCAGCATGATTGACGGATAGATATCTGTACCCAAATTTAGTTCTTTTTTTAGCATGTAATTTCGGGAATTTCGAAATGGTATCGCTGTTACCGTCCGTGTAGCATGAAATTAGAAAAAATAGTCGTGTAATTATTCCAGGATAGAGAGAAAGATAATTTCTAACTATTATAGAATTAAAATTTAGAAAGGCATAACTGGGAGAAAAAAAAAACGAGTGTTCGTGTTGTGAAAGGAATATTTTTAAGTTTGGCAGCTCCGAGTTTGGAGACATTACAACATCGCCAATACAATATGTATACGAAGTAGCTTAAATGGGACCAACATTATGCCTTTAAAAAATCAATTTGACATGATTGGTTTACGAAATATGTAAAAAAAAATTTTGGAAATGCGTTTTTGTTTCATATCAGCCTTGTTTGAGGTGATATTGAAACAATAAGAATACTTTCTCATGACAACTTTTTGCCGCCTATCGAATTGGAAAATCAACTTTTATATGTAACGTTTCGTCTCTCCAGGACCATCATCAACTTCTTTTTTTTAAATACTTACGACCCTAGAAATTTTATTACATTTTTTGCAAGCCTTCATGACCCCCAATACTGTACTGACTCAGCCCGAACCAGATTCAGACGTTTTGTCTCGAAAAATTAATCTTCAGTGTATTCGTTCCAAATTTATCTAAATTTTTTATTTAAATTTCTTTGTTTATTGAATTATCGTACACTGTAAGTGTCGTTAGACCCTGTGAAATCCATCTAGTTA